GCTTCTACATCCTCAATTTATGTGAAAACTACATCCTCAATTTATGTGACAAAATTGAAAAAAACAATAGTTGAAAAAAAAAATCATATCTTGGTCAATTTCAATCACACATCAACGAGTCTTTTGAATTTAGATTTCCATTAGTCAGGCGCGTAGCGTGGACTTTTTATGCACATGTCAGGGTCCGCGACATATATTTTTGATCTGGGGGTCTAAAAAACGCCAAGGGCGGGAGTATTAAGGGAGTTTGGTCCTCCCCCAGAAACTTTTGAAAAAAAAAATTCAAAATTTGAAAGAAATAACTCTTGRAAATGCGAATTCCAGCATTTTGAGAGGCATCGAAAATTATGAAAATTTTGAATGAAACTTAAGTCCCCCCTCTGTTAATTAGGTAATTTTAGTTTGAGCCCTCAATTTTATGTAATGCCCCCCCCTTATTTTACGCCCCCCCTGGTAATTATTGCACAGTCCCTTACATCTAAAACATTTATTCCATCCTCAGCCTTACATCCGAAATGTTGACGATAGAATAGTTGAGTATCGCGATGCCTCAATTATGTGCAAAATATTCATAAATTTAAATAAAACTCGTGAGATTTCAAATAATGTCCATTGTTTTTTTTAACTCACGGAGACGCTGGTGAAAAACGCACTGCGCATGTCCACAGCTATCCCGCTGAAATCTGCCTAATTTCCTTTGTAAAGCGATTTTTGTGAAAAATTTTTGCAATTTATAAGCTCGTTCACCGATATATAAGATTCATATTTCCATCAATCATTGTTCATGATAGGTCCTTTTAGTATGTAGTTTTTTTTTTTATCTTGTCATTTCTATTTTGAGAAAATGAGCTTTTTCGTAGTGTTTTCTGTGTTGTCGCTGTAAATCGCCAGGCGCTCTGTTTAACAGATTTCAAGACGCGAGCGCCCACTGTCGGAAAGGCTGTGGGCATGCGCAGTGCGTTTTTCACCAGTGTCACTCATGGATCTCTTGAATCTGCACGTACTGTTGGAATCAGTAATCAGCAGTTGTTGTTTTTAGAGCGGATTTCGTATGAGTGGGACACCGTTACCGCACGGTTACCGCACAGTTACCGGACCTGGCYTGCAAAATTTTTGTGAACCAATGGGTCACTAGAATTTGGTTAAAGTAAGATTACGGTCACAGTACAGTACCGTCCGTTTCCCACTCATACGAAATCCGCTCTATCGAGACGACGTCGCCTTGTAGAGGCAAATGAAAGGTGAAATATGTTTTTTGCGGCTCTTTTCGATGTTGAATCAGTAAATTGACTTCGAAGTTTGGTATTTCGTACCCCCTCTGGTTGTTTTGGAAATTTGAAACTGGACATGTGAAATAACAGTAGCTTAAAAAGCGAAGCGAGTAAAAAACAACAATTAAGCGCGGGCTTCCTGACTTTTCATTGAATTCAGCTTTTCAATCCGCTAACAAATATTGGTCGTTTTTATAGAACAGCGATATTGTAACAAAGCCTGTATATCATTTTTGGTTTCTCTATGAAAAGAGCTTCTATTCTTGTTACTTTAAATTGTTATTTGTGAAATAAATGAAAAGAAAATACGACAAAATMWAAATTCAATCGCRCGGGATCCCTGATTTTTCATCTGATTTTTCATTGACTTCAGCTTTGAAGCGTTGGATTCCGCGCTGAATCCTTCACTATGTACGTCACATTTTCGTTATCTCGGACCAATCAGCGCGAAGTTAAATCGGATTGAATTGGTATAGATCTTGCTCTAATATCCATCATATCCGTTCGATGTAGATGGTTCGTTGTATGACACGTCTTCTGACATCATATTGCTTAAATCCATTTTCTGTAGAACCTCCATGTTGTCAAGGATATCAAATGGACGATCAAACGTAAAGAGATATTGAAGCCTACAAAAAACAGGGTTTGACTAAGATTTTGACGAAGTTTTCGTAATTTAGTTATGCCATGTGCTACAACAAATAACTTTAAAAAATTATTATTATCATTATTTCTTAAAACCAGTATTATCATGTAAAAGTAGTACATATTGACAGAAATATCGCCTCGTGAAATGTATTGGTGATCGTAGCCAAATGGAAAACAGGCTGACAAACCAGAATAAAAAAAAAATGTTCCCAACGAAGTTATAACTTCAAAAACTGTAAATTGTACTGAATTTTTTTCGAATCCAACATGGCGGCGATAGCTTTTGTTCTTTAACTAGAAAGTTAGACTCTTGACAATGTGGTTAAAACCTAAGAATTGCGGATGTTGCAACTCATTTGCATGTTAAATACCCAAAAACGCATTTGTATGTTAAAAAACGCTTATGTGAAATCGTTCTAAAAACTCACTCATCAGAAGAAACATTGCATTCCACGCTGGTATTCTTATCTGTTCTAATGGCAATGAAGGGCAGATTGATGATGCCTTGTTCTAGTTCCTTCACACTATCCCGTTTCAGGCGAAGTAGGTTCTTGAAACACATTCTCTAAAAGACAAAAATGATAATGATACTATGTTTGTTGGTTTATCGACACTGTTTGCAATGTACACCCTAGCAAAAATAGAAAAMAATAGCAAAAATAAACCATAACAGAATATAACTGCTTTTTGTCGCAAATCAATTTCGATATTCTTATTGAATGGTCACGCGCGCACAGCAACTGCGCATTTTCATTGTTATTTGCCTTTATTAAACGGTCACTTCTTGTAATCAGGATTAAAATCAGCTGAGGGAACGTGAAAAATATTACGAAAACATGAAATGAAAAGCATTGTAATTCTGTAGTTGCATTAACTAGAGTAGGCGTCGAATTCTTCTTTGTTTAGTTTCTGCTATAGCCAACTAAAAGAAAGCTGTCAYCTTTAAATTATATTGTCAATGATGCTAAGCCAAGTTAGCGATTTACTAAATCGCCAAATAAAGCTTCAATGTGCGAAGACCCAGACGACCTTAGACGAATTCTATCATTAAACTGTACATTAATCTGTGTATGTAAACTTGTACAGTACTGTATTCTATTCTAATGTACATACTGTGCACAGTATATTTATTTCATAACTAAAATTATCAACCTTGTATTTAGAGTTTATATTAACTTCATTACGTGATGAGTTTCGTAATTTTTTACGTTTTTTGCCACATACTAGCTAAATTTTAGGCAACCTATATTAAGCGGTCAACCTCTATTAAGCAGTCGCTTGGTTTTTCCCAGGGTGACCGCTTAATAAATAGAGGTTGTACTGTAGTTAGTAGACCATTTGCAAACGGACTTGGTGAAGTGCCTGGCTAAAAAAATCCTTTTAGCGATTTCGTTTTGCAATGTGATGACCTCAAAACCATGAATTATTATCTCTAATTAAGTAATAGCTCGCACAAGAAGGAGACATTCAAAATACAATGAAAATGGGTTGAAATCGGACGTTTCATCTAAATCGGACGTTTGGCATATTTTACACACAGTTCAGTTGAGGTTAKCACAGAGTAAAAGTTAACGCGAATTTGCAGGAAAACTACAGTCGAAAACAACCGAAGTTAGGCAAAGAAAGTCGATATTTTTTTCAACCTTGCATAACGTCTTAACCAAAGACTACATTCACCTGATGAGTAAGTTTTTCCAGATTTTTCGTCTTTTCTTGAATGCCTTTTTCAAGGTTTTGTTTCTCGTCCTAGATGGGGTTATATCACAAATTTGTCAACACGCGTGCACTCTATCATATATAATAGATATCGTAAATATTTAATTGGGTAGATAGATATTTTCTGATTTTGATTTCAAGCTTTATGAAATAACATTAATGTGATAAATATTTGTCTTCACATTTTCATACGGGACTCTAAATTGTAACCGCGGCTTTGCATGGCAGCGAGGCGACTGGTGAGCATACAATGATAGAAACTTCAATTATCGGTTCGAATATTCAATTACATATTTACCTTAAGCTTCTCTTCCGCTTCCTCTTCTTCATAGTTTGGATAGCCTAACCATTTAACAATTCTCCCATCTCTTGATATCATCCGATTTGCATCAAAACTATTTAGCACATCACCCAGTCTTCTATAGACGTTTTTTCTGGTATGTAATATCTGAAAAGCGATATGAAAAATGCAAGAGTTAATAAACWTTATTGAATTGTTCTACACGCACTCGGCTCAGTAAGYCCGTCCATCCGTTCGTCCGTCCTTCCGTTCATCAGAATTGTTTCTTTCTACTCAAATTTTGTTGTGTCAGCGTATCAGCAAGTTGCCCACTGTTCTCATCTACGTTTTCACGAATAATAGTTTTGAAMTTTTATCCCAACTTAGTCGTTTTGWTTGTTCAGTTTTTTGCTTGATTTTTTTTCCTTTTTAATTTATTTCCTTCTTTTTTTTGGGTTTAATCGCTTCTCAATGTCTTTACCACTTACCTCTTGGACTTTACCATCCATTCCATTTATTTCCTTATTTACTATTTCAAATATCTTATAAAGGAATGCAATAAATAAGTTTAATTAATGAAGGATATAATTCAGCAAGAATTCGTAGTCTTTTAAACGACAAAGTGTCTGTTACGTACCTCGTCTATGGTAACTATTTCTTTTTCTTCAAGAATATTTAGCACCATTTTCGTATATGCATAGAGTCCACTTAAATGCGGAGGTTTGGCGATGTACCTGCATAAAAACGTTCTTACATTACATTACATTATATTTTTAATCTTTGATGTTTTCAGCTATCACTCCCGTAAAAATGTCAGTCAAACTATCGTAGACTAAGTGTATTTCTATAGCGAACTCAATTGACATCCATCTTGTCAGATTAGCCAACCTTCATCAGTGTTAATATGGTCAGACAGAGCCCTCTAGGCGGAACATTTTTTTTTCTATGATAAAATTTAATTTTTAATTGCAATTATCCTACGAAAAAAGTGTTTAAATGTTTTTTTTTTCGAATGCAAGATTTCTGGACAGCGTTCTATTGTTTTATACTTTTGTTTTCCTCTTCACGTGAACGCGATTTGTTGAAATGGATTTGTAGCATTAGATCGCGGAATGCTTTCCAATTTGCCTATTCCAAGAACTATTTAACAATTAGACCTCGAGGTCGAGTGGACTACTAGCTAATAGCCCATGAGGCCKAGTCCGCGAGRCCGAATGGGCTATTAGCTCGTAGYCCACGAGGCCGAGAGGTCTAATAGTTTTAGTATAAACATAATAATTGGTCAAATAATGAAAACAAATTGAAATATCCTTAAAATCATTTATTAATGAGATGCCGCCATTTTGATTTTCCCGCGAGTATGGTGTATCACAAATTAGATGCATTAATGCATCTAATTATTCCAAGCTGCGACTCCTTTGTTTTCAAGGTGAAGTCTGACGAGATGACGTCTTCACAGAGCTGTACAAAGCGCCCGTTTCTATCTGAATCTTCGCGTATTTTCGACCCGCTGGGTTTGCTGGCTCCTGTCCTGATTTTTACAAAGATTTTGTTTCAAAAGTTATGGCTGTGCGGAATTGAATGGGATGACCTTTTACCTGACGAGCTTTTTGAGGTATGGTCTGACTGGAAAATGGAGCTGCCAAAGTTGCAAGAAATAAACCTACCACGATTGATAGTGCCAAGGGACTTTAGCCATGTAGTTTGCTACGAAATTCATGCATTCTCTGACGCGTCTGAAGCAGCCTATGCCGTTTACGTTCTGAAGTTGTAACTGGTATAAGTGGTAAAGCTGTAGTTAAGCTTGTTGCTGCAAAGACAAAGGTCGCGCCCCTCAAAAGAACATCTCTACCAAGACTGGAGCTGTGTGGAGCACTTCTCGTTGCACGACTTATGAAGAGGGTTCAAGAGGCACTCAACTTAAAGCTTGACCTGTACGGTTGGACGGACTCGACTGTTGCTCTTACCTGGATTCATGGTGCACATTCTAAATGGAAAGCTTTTGTGGGAAACAGAGTCAGTGAAATTCAAGACATTGTCTGTCCTGCAAATTGGCGTCATTGTCCATCTGTTGACAATCCTGCCGACTTCGCTACACGGGGCATCGCGTGAATTAGTTTCTCACCCAATCTGGTATTCTGGACCGCAATGGCTGAAGAAATCTCCTAGTTCTTGGCCGTCACAGATGGTTTACGACCTAAAGGGATTTCAGGAAGAGCAAGTAACAACTTATGTAACTGTGAACGTTCTCCAAACTACTCGAGAATCTATCTTTGATTTGTTTCCTTACTCATCACTCATAAAGATAGTTCGCGTATTGACGTGGTGTCGTCGATGGCTAACAATGCGTCATCAAAGGTCTACAAAGTGTCTATCGTTAACTGCTGAAGAGATGAAAGAATCACTCAACCTGTTGATAAAAGAGGCACAAAAGACAGAATTTGCGGAGGAGATTGAAAGCTTAAAGAAAGAACATTGTGTCTCAAGAAGAAGTAAACTTGTGTCACTGTATCCATTCCTAGATGGTGATCTGTTGCGTGTTGGCGGACGATTGAATCTTGGCACATTGTCCTATGACCAAAAACACCCCATCTTGCTGCCAAAAAAGCATGTTATAACGAATCTGATCATATAGCACGAGCATTTGAAAAATCTGCATGCTGGTCCACAATTGTTACAATCTACGCTACGTCAAAGATTTTGGATAATAGGAATGAGAGATCTGGTGAGACGATTCGTGAACAGTTGTGTCAAGTGCAGACGACAAAGAGCGGAAAGCCTGCAGCAGTTAATGAGTACACTACCAAAGGAAAGAATAACGTCTCAAAGAGCTTTCCTGACCACTGGCATAGATTACGCTGGACCTATTTTGCTGAAAACTGGACGTGGGCGTGGAACACGAAATGAGAAAGCCTGGTTGGCCTTGTTCGTATGCTTTGCTGTAAAGGCAGTACACATAGAGTTGGTGAGCAGTCTCTCGACAGAGGTCTTCCTCGCAGCCCCGAAGAGATTTGTTTCGCGCCGCGGGAAACCAAGCAAAATCTACAGTGACAATGTAGTACAACGCTCCAAAGATCACAACGAAAGAGTGTCCGAATCTGTACATCACGACGAGATAGAATGGCATTTTGCACCTCAAAGGGGGAGTCATTTTGGAGGATTATGGGAAGCGGGCGTCAAGAGCGTCAAGACCATTAACGCCTCTCTCTACTGATCCAGCATTGACCCCTGGACATTTCCTGGTCTCTGCGCCTCTGAATGCTTTACCAGAACGTGATGTAACAGAAGTTAAAGTCAACCGACTGAACAGATGGCAACATGTACAGCAACTACATCAACATTTCTGGAAAAGGTGGTCGAGTGAATATCTAACTAGCTTACAGCAAAGACCTAAGTGGACAAACAAGAGACGAAATTTAGACACCGGGGACTTGGTTATCTTGAAAGAAGAGAATCTTCCTCCTACAAAGTGGATGCTAGGAAGAGTCATCCAAGTGTATCCAGGAAAGGATCATCTCTGTCGAGTCGTCACCGTGTGTACAGCTTCTGGTGTTCTTAAGCGTCCTGTGCTCAAGTTGGTTCTTTTACTGGCCAATGATGAGCAGTGAACAAAGAAGAGAAAATTTGAACATTTAAATGATCTTAGAAGAACTGTTTATTTCTTTATTTATGTTGTTTATGTTTTTGGAGGCATNCCACGAGGCCGAGAGGTCTAATAGTTTTAGTATAAACATAATAATTGGTCAAATAATGAAAACAAATTGAAATATCCTTAAAATCATTTATTAATGAGATGCCGCCATTTTGATTTTCCCGCGAGTATGGTGTATCACAAATTAGATGCATTAATGCATCTAATTATTCCAAGCTGCGACTCCTTTGTTTTCAAGGTGAAGTCTGACGAGATGACGTCTTCACAGAGCTGTACAAAGCGCCCGTTTCTATCTGAATCTTCGCGTATTTTCGACCCGCTGGGTTTGCTGGCTCCTGTCCTGATTTTTACAAAGATTTTGTTTCAAAAGTTATGGCTGTGCGGAATTGAATGGGATGACCTTTTACCTGACGAGCTTTTTGAGGTATGGTCTGACTGGAAAATGGAGCTGCCAAAGTTGCAAGAAATAAACCTACCACGATTGATAGTGCCAAGGGACTTTAGCCATGTAGTTTGCTACGAAATTCCTGACCACTGGCATCGATTAGGTTAGTTAGTTTTTGAACCGAACCGAACCGAACCGAACCAAAACAAGCAAGGTTATCTCATGTACCAGAATTCTAGAATTAAAAGAAACGACAAAACAAAGCCAGATGATCCTCCATTTACGTCAGTTAGTGTTGATTTCTTCGGACCAATTTACGTGCGTCAACGACGATCACATGTCAAACGATACGGATGTATTTTTACCTGTCTGGCAACAACAGCAACCCACATCGAAGTAGTCGAATCATTGGATACTGATTCGTTTATAAATKCCTACCGTAGATATGCCAATACCAGAGGAAACCCTTCYGTGGTGTACAGTGATAACGGTACTAATTTGCAGGCTGGCGAGAAGGAGATACWCAAAGCAATTCAAGAATGGAACCAAGACAAGATTAACCAGACCTTGAGCCAGAAAAACGTACAATGGTATTTCAATCCTCCAAAAGYCTCACACATGGGTGGTGTCTGGGAGCGTGTAATCCGGTCAATCCGAAAGATAATGAGAGCGATACTTGGAAGTCAGGTTGTTACTGATGAAGTCTTGCGAACAACTATGTCCGAAGTGCAAGCAATTCTAAACGGTCGACCACTAACACCACACAGCAACGATGTAAAGGACATGGAAGTGCTTACCCCTGACCATCTGTTGCTTTTACGAAGAATTGCTATTCTGCCTCTAGGGCTTCATCGCGAGGATCATGGCTAGTAGCCTACTGTCGATGACGCAGGTGGAAACAAGTACAGTATCTAGCGAACGTATTTTGGCGGCGATGGCTAAAAGAATATCTTCCAATCATGCAATACGACAGAAATGGTTCAGACCCCAGCGTAACCTACAAGATGGAGATTTGGTGCTGATAGCAGACGAGAACACCCCGTGTGRCAAATGGCCAATTGCCAGGGTTACAAAAKTGAAKAAAGGAAGAGATGCAGTTTGKTACGTCTCTCCACAGTTTCGGATCTATGGTCACAAGACCTATCGCAAAGCTCTGTTTTCTTGAACACCAAGAACAATGATTTATAAATTAATAAGTGATAAGTGTTGAAGGTTTCGTGTCTTRATATATGAACAACTATAAATGGTCATGGGGCGGGTATGTAGACACGAGTAATTGTACGTACTTTGTTTTGATTTGTATTAAAGTTCGTAAGTAAGAGCATTAATGTAAATTSCAGCGTGTAAGTCATTTAGTATATAGTAGTTCGTTGCGTAATATCCACTGTCACAGTCGAAGTCGTAGTCACCACAAATCTTGTAAGTAAGTCGTTATATTTACACCGATTGTAATTGTTTATTTGAAGTAAATGAGATGTTATGGACTCTATTTGAGTTAGTGGATTGACTGTGGCCACACAAAGTAAACACTAATGGATAAGAAAAGTAATCATTATAATCCTAAATAACATGGGAAAATAATTACTAAAACGTTCAAATGTTTCACTGTTCTGAACAACCGCCTAAAATGTCAATTCCATCAAATTAAGTGAGTCCTAAACTCGACCTTTGATCACTCTATTTGGTCTTCTCTTCATGCATGGCGACCRTATTGTTTTCACATGTACATCTTCGTCTGCGTCCGACTTTTTCGTGAAAATTCAGCTGCGCGCCCTGTCCGTTTCCGGCAGCTTCACAAGATGCCKAAGGTGCGGGATTGCAGAATATCAAAAATATCACAATATTATATCACTTTTCTATTGTATATATTTATGATTTATCATCATATAGATCATGGTATTATCAGTCGTAAYTGATATTATCAATAAACCACCAAAATCACCTGATATTTTGATATTTAACAAGTATTCGCCGAAGGCGAAGTGATTATCAATGAATATTTACCGAGCGGCGATTCYGCGAATTCAGACTGTTGTTGAAACCATTCTGTCAAAAAATGTATCGAGTAAAATGTAAACAAACGAAGGCGAAAACCTACAAATTTCAGCCTGTTTGACGTAAAACGATAGATAAAAAAATAATTTTAGACAATCTTTTTATTATTAAATAAACAAAACTTACCTGTAAAAAGGTTTAATCCAATTTTTTTAATCCAACTGTTTAATCCAACGACTCGCGGACGACGCCATTTTGCGAAAAAATCCAATATTCACCTTTAGGTGAACATCGGTCATTGAAGCGTAAAATTCGACCAATCAGCGCGCTAGAATTATGATATTCACTTATGAAATTATACTAAATCAATGTTAGTGCTTCGTTCTTAAAAGTCAACTCTCTCGTGACACGATATTTTGATAATATCATGATATATCACACTATCAGTGTCGAAACATTTTCAAAGTCAACATGGTAAATCTAATCAAAATGTCGTATTGAGTCGTTATTTTTATTTTTATTAGTATGGGTTTTCTTGGCTCTATGGTTACAAGCATGGCGTCAAAATTGTGTACTTTTCATTACTTTGTCTTTGACTTCAGATCTCACTTTCCGATTCGAACAGTTTATATTCAGAAAAGATCCATAAAAAGAATTACAGAAAAGGATGCCTTTCAATCCGCCATCATTATTTTTGAAGAAAACATTTATTTGAAGAGTCTTTATATATGCTCTTTTTTTGATAAACCCTTTACCACAGACCTAAGATTTTTATATTTTTCATACTAAACACCAGACTAAACTAAGAATTGCATATCCTATTTTGCTAACTTGTTAACTCTTAACTTTTACACGGAATTTACGTTGTTCTTGACCGAAAGAGCATCTTATTCCAGACTAAAACCGAAGAAAACTACCCAGTCTATTCAGACTAAATCGACCAAATTATACCCCTATCCCAGACAAAAACCACTACCAGATGATCTCAGACAAAAACCATATCATATGATCCCAGACAAAAACCATGCCATATGATCCCAGATAAAAACCATACCATATCCGACCATATCCCAGACAACATGCCAAAAAGGATACCCTGAGTGCATCCTCTATAGGACTATCAACTCGTCATCCATTCGATCTCGCTGTCTTTTTGAAAAAATAGCCATCTAGATGTTATTTTAGTCATCGTTTTATTTTTCACATATCGCTCGGATATTTCAATCAAACTGGGTAGTGTGTACACACACAATAAGGTTGTACTGAATTGATAATAAAAACCATGTGCACGAAGTGCAGACGCAGTTGACCTCCAATGACAATTATCGCCGAAGCCGAGTTGATTGTTAGTGATTATGCTCAGCGTAATGAGTTCGCGGTGAGTTGATTCATCGATAATCACCGAGTATGAGTAGAGTAATTGCATGGGCGGATTTAGAATTTTGACTGACTAGTTCAAGTTCAATGGCACAGCAGCCATTATTAAATTCTGAAAAATGTGTTTTGATAACTTTTTAACATTTAGTTGAAAAGTGGACAAGAAAAGACCTGCCTTGTTAAAAACTGAATAACGATATACCTCAGCTCAACAGAGTTATAAAGTTCATAGTACTTAAMGGTAAATTGCAATAAAACCACTGTCATTACAAATTCAAGTTTCACTGCTTCCACTAGGAAGACTGGACAGTGGGCTGAGCTAAATTGGCTAAACTTGTGCATAGTAGAATGTGACAACGGTCATCCATGTACAATGTAACAAGACTTTTACATATCACCGTTTAAGCCATACAAGATTTGTTTCTATGAGAGGGTTTAGTCGCGTTATATTGGRAGAGACGCGAGGAAAGCCGGCTTGAAAGTGACGAGCCTTCAAACTGTTCGAGTGTCTCTACCAACATCGACAGTACTCTATTTCGCCGGTAGAGAAGGAAACAAACATAGAAACAATCTTTTATTATATATATAACRAGACTTTCATAGAGTAAATGGCATAAATAGAAATCTATATGCTATATTTTCACATGTGAAAAATARCGATACGTCCAATCAGAAGCGCGTATAGCATTTCTCACACTGTAAAAATATAACCAATCACAACACAGAAAAACCGTAATCAGCCAATCAGAAAGCGACGTTCACAACACTGAAATGGCTTCTCTTAGTCACATACCGCGCGTTGATG